CAGGTCTAACACAGTAAGTAACCTAGAAATTGACACTCGATTGTCAGAACTGGCTATGCTGAGCATATCTATAGGAATACCAGGAGGGAATGCCCACCAATTAATGGGGGCGGCTCTGCAAATTGTCACAGACCTGACTCAGCTATTATCGGTATTAACTGATGGGGTGGCAAGTGCTACACAAAGGGCAGAGTGGGGCACAGCATGTGCCTCGGCACAGGCAGGGCTAATGGCACACCTCCACCACATCTTGCAAGCTGCACAGAAGGCTACATGGTCTCCTTTACTTAACCCCATAGTAACCACCAGGTTCCTCTTACAGTAGAGCAACACTTGCACCATCACTTTGGGGTCCTGCTCACCTCAGAGGTGCCTAAATTATACCCTGCTCCAGAGCTCCAGCCAGGGAGCAAGGTAGGGGGCTGCTCCATTCGGCTCCTGGAAGCCCTGGCATGGACCCACTCTGGCTCCTACGCATAGTGGCAGCCAGGGGGCTCTGCTATGCACGCTGCCTCTGGCCCCAAGCACCGCCCCCGCAGCTCCCATTGGCTGAGAACTGCGGACGGGGCACCGCTCAGAGTCGCCTGGCTGCAGCACCATTTGAGGTAAGTGCCACCCGGAGCCTGCACCCCTTAGCCTCTCCCTGTGCCCCAACCCCTGCCCCCATTCTGCTCTCCCTCCTGCCCTCCAAACCTCTCGATCCCAGCCCAGAGCACCCTCCTACACCCCAAACCTCTCATCCCCAGCCCCACCCCAGAGCCTGCAACCCCATTTAGAGCCTGCATCCCTTCCCCTGCCCCAGCCCAGAGCCCTCTCCCGCACCCTGAACTCCTCATTTCTGGACCCACCCTGGAGCCTGCACCTCCAACCAGAGACCTCACTCCCTCCCGCACCCCAACCCCAATTTTGGGAGTATTCATGGCCTGCCATACAATTTCTATTCCAGATGTGGCCCTCGGGCCAAAAAGTTTGCCCATCCCTGGTTTACAGCCTCCAGTTCAGGCCTCAAATTTTACACCAGGCCCAATGCTCCAGGCTCTCTCTTGCTCTCTCTCTCTTTACTACAATAACCAGGCTCAATCAGTTTATTAATCAAAGATTATTAGTCAAAGATTAATCAGCATGATACAGAAGGGTTTCACTATGTTTATACCATTGATCTGGGGAAGCAGTACTGCTGTACTGAGCCATTCAATGGAACCATTAAATGGAAATTGCTGTCTCATGACCCAACTAAAACCTCTCCAGTGCATCATCAAGGATCTACAAGCTATCCTGAAGGACGATCCCTCACTCTCACAGACCTTGGGAGACAGGCTAGTCCTTGATCACTGAACCCCACAACCTGAAGCAAATACTCACCAGCAACTACACACCACACAACAAAAACACTAACCCGGGAACCAAACCCTGCAACAAACCCCAGTGCCAACTCTGTTCACATATCTATTCAAGGGACACCGTCATAGAACCTAACCACATCAGCCATACCATCAGGGGCTCATTCACCTGCACATCTACCAATGTGATATATGCCATCATGTGCCAGCAATGCCCCTCTGTCATGTACATTGGCCAAAGCAGACAGTCTCTATGCAAAGGAATAAATGGACACAAATCAGACATCAAGAATTATAACATTCAAAAACCAGTAGGAGAACACTTCAATCTCCCTGGACACTCAATAACAGACTTAAAAGTGGCAATTCTTCAACAACAAAAAATTCAAAAACAGACTCCAATGAGAAACTGCAGAACTGGAATTAATTTGCAAACTGAACACCATCAAATTAGGCCTGAATGAAGACTGGGGGTGGATCGGTCACTACAAAAATTAATTTCCCCCTGATGATACTCACACCTTCTTGTCAATTGTTTGAAATGGGCCACCTTGATTACATTGGCCTCATTAGCACTACAAAAGTGATTCCCCCCCCCTTGGTATTCACCCCTTTTTCTCAACTGTTGAGAACAGCCCACTTCCACCTTAATTGAATTGGCTCGTTAGCACTGACCCCCCCACTTGGTAAGCCAAATCCCATCTTTTCATGTGCTGTGTATTTATACCTGCCTATTGTACTTTCCACTCCATGCATCTGATGAAGTGGGTTCTAGCCAACAAAAGCTTATGCCCAAATACATTTGTTAGTCTTGAAGGTGCCACAAGGACTCCTCATTGCTTTTGCTGATACAGACTAACACGGCTACCCCTCTGAAACCTACCACAGCTGAGATTTCTCTCACTGGTCCTGTTAACAACTACACACTGTGAACATTTCACAGCAGGACCATTAACCCTAAAGGATAAAATGATGTCACAGAGCTCACGGATTCCAGGACTTTCAGAGACCTCCAGGACATTTTCTGCTTCAGCCCTGGGGTGTTGGGGGGCTGGAGGTGTCAGCTGGCTGGGGCCCTGGAGCTCTGAGCTGCTGCAGGTGGTGTGTGTGGGGAGGGACACGGAGGCGCCTGGGAAGTGACTTAGGGCCCTGAGGCACCGCAGGCCCTGGAGCTGTCAGCCACCATGCTGCAGGTTCTGGGTCCCCTGCCCACAGCGGGCCTTAGGCTCTCTTTCTCCCCCACCATGGGGCTCGAGCTTTAGTCATCCCCCATTAGCCCCTCCCCCCATTATTTTTGGTTATTGCCTGCGACCTGTCCCTGACTTTTACTAAAATTAAGAGTGACAAATTATCCCCACCGCACTGTAACACACTGTACAGGAGAGGGGAGGGGCCCTGAGGAATCACATGGCAACCACGTGGCCTAGTGGAGAGACCCCTGGACTGGGACTATTCCTAGCTCTGCCATTGGTCTGTTGGCTGACCTTGGGCAAGTCACTTCCCCTCCCCGTGCCTCAGTTTCCCACCTGTATAATGGGGATAATGATGTAAAGCTGTTGGAAATGTCCTGATGTGAAGCACCATGGAACACTTTGGTGTTTTTATTATTACCTAGGCACAGTAGCATGGCAACTGCAAACCTAGGCAGGGACAACAGCTGTGTAAATGGCCACGAACTCCCACCGACAACCATTTCTCTTTCGGTTTAAAACACTAGGAAGTTAAATAGCAAAAAATTTCATTGACACAGAGTTCAGGTTGCCCAGTGAGATCTCCTGCCCTTCCAGAACTGTGAGTTCAGCAGAACTCCAACTTCTGAAAAACAGGAAACAAAGTTATGGCAAAGGCCCAACCCACCTTAGCTCTGCCCCCTTTGAGTGATGCCCCCTGTGCTCAGAACATGCCCACACCCACTCTGCCTGGTCAGTGTTATTCACTGGCGCTACCTGCTCTTGTCCTATACTGAGACACTGACCTGCTCCTTGACAGAACACCACACCTGTAACATTCAAACCATGTCATCCCCTTTTCCAGCCCCTTCACCCTACCACACAGGACAGCACCTAGACGTGTCCTTTCCCCTGCTCATCACTAAATGCACAGCCTGCGCTCATCTCCCACCTCGCTGCTGATAATCCCCATGGCAAGAAGACCCCAGTGCCCTGCTACTGATCCAACCTGCTCAATCCTGTATGGAAACGATGCAGACTGGAACCTCAAGGGTCCATGGGCACCTCGTTCCTTTGATCACACACCTGGGGGAATCAGACCCAGATCTCCTCAGGTCAAAATCACAGTTCTCTAATCTGCTGCAGCTAATTCTTCCCTCATTCAGGATAGCTACACCTCACACAGTGACTGCAGCTGGAGTTCACACAGACAAGTCCCAGGGTCTATTGGCAGCGTCGGGTGAAGGTAAGGGTGGTGGCGGGGGGGCAGAGCTATGATAAAGCATTTACCTTAACGCTGCATTTCATGGTCTTCAGATATTTGAGTTTTCCTGAACTTGACATTCTGGAAGGGCCCAAGGTATCACTGGGCACCTTTTCTCTGTGTTAATGGAGGTTTTTGCTGCTTAATAAATCCCTGCCCACCCCCTGCACCACAGCGCCCCCTCCTGACCTTCCCAAACTTCTTCTGAGCCCTGCCTCCCTGCAGCACAGCACCTATACTGAGCCCCCCGCTCCACCGCAGGCCCCCCAGACTGAGCCCCCCCGC